GGAGTTTTAAAATGTAATTAGATCTCACTCCCAGATATAACTGACATGGGATAGGTTCTGGCTGGGTTTTTTTTTTTTTTTTTTTTTTTTTTTTTGTCTTTTTGAGACAGGGTCTTGCTATGCAGTTCAGGCTGGCTTTGAGCTCACTTTGTTTCCCAGGCTGATCTCGAACTTGCAGCCATCCTCTTGCCTCAGCCTCCTGAGTGCTGGGATTACAGGTATGCGCCACCATACCCAGCTGGCAGCTGTTTGTATTTATAAAAAAATTCAGTTCATCCATCGCCCACTCCCAGGTGACTATAATGTGTAGTTATACTGAGAGTCATTCACCTAGGCCTTAGTTCTTCCCCATGGGCTCATGTGAAACAAGCCTAATCCTTCGGCATAATAGTCTTTGGGGCAGTGAAGAATGTACCTCCTCCCTTATCCCTTCTGCAGTTTAAACATTTCCCATCTTTTCACAAAGGACATCCGTTACCTTCCTGATTATTTAGATCAGTGATGGCGAACCTTTTAGACCTTTTAGTGATAAGCAGCTGGCTGTGGTAAACGTGCCATAGGTTTGCCACCACTGACTTAGATGCTCCTCATTTTTCTTTACTCTGACAGTATTGTGCCCCAAAATGACTCCAGCGCTGCAGGTGTGGCCTGCCTAGGGAAAAGTGAAGCAGGACTAGCAAAGCTCACTCCAAATCTTATTCTTTAAGCAGCCCAAGATCATACCTTTCTTATTGTGGATGTGGCATGTTTTTGAATGACAGTGTACTCATATCCCCCAAAGTTCTTGTATCTTAGGTGGTGCCATTAGGCAACTTAAAAAACATTAATAGACTTCATTTTTTAGAGCAGTTTGAAGTTTAAGGGGAAACTCAACAAAGCACAGAGAACACCTATCATGTCTCTCTCACCTTGTTCACTGTTTCCTCTACTAGTAATATCTTGCATTAGTATGGTTTAAATGTTGATTGATGAACCAGTATTGATTTATTATTATGAACTAAAGCTCAGTTTTTATCTGGGTTCACTCTTTGTATTTTAGGTTCCTCCACTGTCTTTATGAATGAGGAAATGGGGTTGATAGCTCATTTCTCTGTAGTGTTGAATCATAGTCCATTGTCTGGATGTATTACAGTTTATCCATTTACTCATGGATGTAAATTTTGGTTGCCTCCAATTTTGGCAATTACAGATAGAGTTGTTACAAACATTTTGTGCAGGGTTTTGCATGGATATGAGTTTTCTATTCCTCTGGGTAAATCCCTAGGAGTGTGAGTGCTGCACAGTATGGGGTCTGTGTAGCTTGATAAAATATGGCAAACTGTCTTCCCAAGTATCCATAAGGTTTTGCCTTCTCACCAGCAATGAATGAGAGCGCCTGTTGTTCCACATCCTTGCCAGCATTTTCATTATTTTGTGTTTACCCAATCTAGTAGATTAGATGTATAGTAGTATCTCATGGTTATAATTTGCAGTTCCCTAATGACAAATGATACTTAGCCTAGTTCCGTATACTTATCTACCTGCAGCTCTTTGGAGAGGTGTCTGTAGAGATCTTTGTGGTTTTAGTTGAGTTGTTGTCTTACTGCATTTTATGAGTTCTTTGTATTTTTAGTAGATTAGTCCTTTGATAAGAAATTTATTTTGTAAACATTTCTCTGGTATTTTTTTCTTGTTTTAGTTTCGTAATAGTGTCTTATTTTTCCGTTTATTTTTTATTTTATGAGAAAATAAACTTTCATTATCTCCACAGTAGTTCCTCTGTATAAGACAAAAACCAAAAAGATTCTTAAAAAAAAAAGAAACAATCTCCTAAAGTGTTTTGCAAAGCGCAAGTTTAATTTTAATGAATTCTAATTTATTATTATTATTTTTTTGTTTTGTTTTGTTTTGTTTGCAGTATTGGGGATTGAAGCCAGGGCCTTGTGCATACTAGACAAGCCTTCTACTACTGAGCTATACCCTTACTCTTACTAATATTTTCTTTTTTGGATCTTGATTTTGGTAATGCATCTAAAAACATACCCAAAATCCTTTAGTCCTTCCTACATTGTCTTCTTTTAAGTTTTTTTTTATTTTAAAGAGGAAAAAAAACCAATAAAAATGGTACAGAATTTCAAAACAAGATGATAGGAAATTACCGATGGTTATTCTATTGCATATTGTTATCTTCAAAGTAATTGCTCAGCTTACCAGATACAAGCATGCAAAACTGATCAAACAATATAAGCACTAACTGTTCCTTTCACGAATAGAAATTAGTGGTACAATTATCGTAGTTATCTTGTGTATATGTATATATATTTTTTTCTCTTCTTTTCTCCTTTCCCCCATGCCAATTGTTCTTTCCTTTTGAGCATTGTTTTACTTTTTGCCTTTATGTAAGTTATCCATTTTGAGTTAGTTTTTATGAGGAGCAAGTTCTTCACCTTTTTGTCACTTACATGTGCAGTAAATTACCTTTATCCCCATTGCTGGTAAATTGTATAGTAACACTTCACTGTCAGACTGATTGGAGGGTTGCAACACTTAGCACCCTTCCTTTGGGACCTTCATAAAAGTCTTAACAGTTTGGGGAAGACTCCTGTTTTGGAAACAGTTTTCGTGAAGAAGGTGGATGGAGAGCCCTAACAAAATATCCCTCGCAATCTGCCAACAATTTGTCACTGTTTCCTTGAGAGCCTCACTTTGGGCATAGTTGTTCGTTTGGCACCTAGTCCACTTCCTGTACTGGGCATGTTGTTTCTACATTTCTTCACCTTATCTGCAGGGGCATCATCAACAACTTGCCAGGAGCCTGCTGGAGACCACATATAGTTAGTCTAATTTCCAAAGCCATTGATCTGTAATTTGTCAAAAAGGAGCTGAGGATCTTAGTGAGCCCTTGCAGATTCCTAATGTTCACCTGTCCCTGGGTGTTCACAACCATCCTTTTGACCAAGATTGGTGAGGATTTGTTTTGCAAAATGTGTAACTAACTATAAAGCCAGTCACTTCCTCTTTAGAATAAAAGTAGAACTTTTCATCATAAAATTAAATGGTGGCATTTTAGGGACTTCCATTTTCCTCTGGGTGAACTGTGAATCAGTACGAGATTAGGATTTAGTGACTTGGTGATAACCAACAGGGGGTCCAACACTGTACTTCTGGCACCAGTTCCTGGAACTAACGCGGACTCCGTAGGTTAAGGGTCTGTCTCACGAGACTGCTCCCTGTAGGTACAGTGGAGGAGGGGGAGGCCGTACATACTGACCAAGAGCTATAAACCCTCTCCTCAGATTGGATGATTTGCCTAGAATGACTCAAACTCGGGAAAACACTTCACTTACATTTACTGCTTGGTTATAAATGAGCTAATTCAGGTGCAGATACTATTTAATTTCACCTATTAATGTGCCTAGTGTACTTTCAGTTGGAGGAAATGTTTCCTATTTCATTGTTAGTTGCATTGTATCTTAAAATTTAGTGTTTGGCTTTAGAGGTATATATCTCATTGGTGGCTGAAATGGTTCATTTAAGTCTCTTCATGTATTTGACATGAAACATTGTCATTAAACATGGCAAGGCTTAGGTATTCCTTTGTGACTACTTTGAAACACACCTCTGTTTTTATGTACAATCATAACAGAACTATAACTTCCAATTACTTACCAATGAAGAAACGTTATCTTTGTAATTGCTCTATGTTCTGCCTTATAACAGCAGCATAAGGAAGCTATTATCACCTTTCCCCAACACTCATGATTTAATTGATGAGGAAATTAAGATCCAGAGAGTTTAAGGCCTTTCAAAAAGTAGGAAAGTTAATTTAAATCCCTTGAGCCCTGAAAATATTCCACATATTTAACCTTTGTTCCTGTGGTCCTAGCATAGTAAATTTATGAGACTTCCTTTTTATTTCAGACAGATTATGAGGGACAGGCAAAGAAACTCCTGGAGCTGATGGAAAGCACAGATATGATCATTGTTGCCGGAGGGGATGGGACCCTACAGGAGGTAAGATTTCTTTCTCTTTGAGATCATTTTGAAGTTGAGAAAAATTAAAATTAGATTTTAGATGCTTATATATTTATGATTTTTATGTTGAATTGTTCCCTTAACCAGTATGTAGTGACCTGTCTCTTCTGATTAGTCTTAGCTTGAAGACTTGTCTGCAGTTAGAATAGCTGTTCTTGCTTTTTATTTATTTATTCATCTATTTTTGGGTACCAGGAATGGAACTCAGGACCTTGCACTTGCCAGGCAGGCGCTTGTGCTGTTGAGCTATATATCCCCAGCCCTTTCTGTTGTCTTTAATTGCTCACCTTACCTGCTGAATTCTGTTGAGCTTTTTGGCATTGCTATCTTCATTGTCTCTTTCTAGGATATCCTTAAGTTTTTTTTGGAGTGCTGGTTTGGTGGTCATGAATTTCTTTAGATGTTCTTTATCATGAAGTATCTTATCTCCCCATCAGTTTTGAAAGACAGTTTTGCAGAATACATCAATCTTGGTTGGAAGTTTTCCTTTAGGGCTTGAAACACTTCACTTCAAGCTCTCCTTGACTGTAGGGTTTGTTTTGAGAAGTCTGCTATAATTCTTATGGGCTTTCTTTTATAAGTGATTTGTTTCTTGTTGTGGTTATAATTTAAGGAAATTTTTTTGAAATTCATTCTTTTAGGATTGTTGCTCTCAAACTCTCAAATTTAGTAGTTCTAAGTTTTTCCCATGCACTTACATTGCATTGTTTCTGTAAGCCCTCTCGGCCCAGAGACGGAGAGCACGTAGAAGGGCTTGTATGTTACCAAATTTCAGTTTGATGAAATTGAGTAGCAGTGGAGGCACGATGGAGGCACAGTGGCGGTAAGTGACAAGCTTGCTCCATTTTGAAGGGGGGTGTGAAGTACCCCTGTTTGAAATGGAATCAGTTTCAGTTATTAGGACTATGTCTTGTACAATAAAGATTGCTTTTATAAATGCATCTGTCTAGTCTCACATCATTTCTGTTATATATAATGTTTTCTTTTAATACTACATTTATAGGAAGAGGGGCACGTTCAGATGTGTGCATCTGCTGGGTTTCCCCTGGAGTGAACCCGGGGCTTTGCACATGCTGGGCAAGTGATTTGCTGCTGAGCTGCATCCTCAGCCCTGTCTTTTTTTACCACTATGTATCCTCAGTGTGATGCCACTGCACACCTATTAGAAAGGCCCAAATTCAGAACACTGACAGTGTCCAAAACTGGCGAGGAACCGTCGTTCATTGCTGGTGGGAATGTGGGATAAACAGAATGGAAATGGCATAGCCATTTTGGAACAGTTGAGTGGTTTCCTACAAAACTGAAAATGTTCTTACCATGTGACCTGGCAGCTGCGTGCCATGTTTACCCCAAGGGCTTGAAACCTGATTTCCACACACAAGCTTGCACATGACCAGCTCCCCACAGTGAATGGAATCACTATACACTGCAAACGTACCAGTAAAAATAAAATGGAACTATGTATACATATAAATAAAACAAAAAATCCCACACATGGATGTTTGTAACAGCTTTCTACATAATAATTGCCAAAACTTGGAAACGTCTAAGGTGTCCTTCAGTGAGTGAGGGGATAAAGAATGATACATTCAAGCCAAGCATGTGCCTATAATCTCAGCACTCTAGGAGGCTGAGGCAGAAAGATTTCAAGTTCAAGCCCAGCCTGTGCAACATGGTGAGACCCTGCCTCAAAATAACAAATTTTAAAACAGAGGGCTGAGGATGCAGCTCAGTGTGAAGGCCCTGGATTCAGTCCTCAGTACCACCCACCCTCAAAAGTGTGATACATTGGTACAATAATACAGTATTTGGCACCACAAGAAGTCATGGAGGAAACTTTGACGCTTATTAGAAGTCAGTGTGAAAAGGTTACACACTGTAGGGTTCATTATTTGACAGCAGGGAAGGCAGAACTCTGGAGTCACTAAAAAGATGTGTGGTTACTAAGGGTTGGGGAAAAGAGAGGGAAATAGGCAGAGCACACAGGACTTTTAGAGCAGCAGAACTTCTCTGAACAATACAGTCATGGCGTCACTTTTGGTGTATGTTCATCATTTGTAACAAACGCACCATCCTGATGGGAGATGTTGACAATGAGATGCGTGGGGCAGATGTCACGTGGGGGATCAGTGCACCTTTTCTCAATTTCGCCATGAACCTAAAACTGCTTTTGAAATAACTTATTAATTTGAACAAGTGACATAGCCTTATTGCTTATTGCGGGCCACTGCTCTTGTAAGTACTCTTCTTCCTCCCAGGAAGCCAGGGAGGTCAGTAACTGTGGGGACCTGTAAAGAGCTCCAGGCTGGAGATATTGCCTGATGCTCAAGTATGAGGTGATACAGTCTTGTTTCATGTCCACACCTCACCTCTGATCACCTTCATCTCTTTTTGTGGTGGGAAAGTCTTGTCAGTGTACAGGGACTGGAAGGTAAGAGCAGGCATGGCTGCCTAGGGACTTGGCACCAATGTGTATCTTTGTAAGCTGCTTTAAAAAGACCGCTAATGATCTTGCAGTTGTCTTTATGATTTTTTAATGAGCTGTGCAGTGCACTGATGCTGTAAAAGAATGAAGTAGAGCACTTGACTGACCCATGCAGTGCTGAGGCTCAGGGAGGTAGGAGAAGGTAGAGTGAGCCCTGGGTTTATAAAACGGTTTTAGGGAAAGACAGTAAATTCTGTATTTGGTATAATCACAGTCATGCTAAATAGGCATTGATGAAAAAAGGTATTCATGGGAAATATACCTGTATTCATCAGCTTACCTGTTGCTGGCACAAACTACCCAACACACAGCTCAAAGGAAGAGAGGTTTATTTTGCCTCACAGTTTCCATGGGTTCCGTCTAGGGTTGGATGGTTTCAAGGCAGAGTGGTGTGGCCAGACAGCATGGTGGAGGAACAGCGTTTAGGGCATGTGGCCAGGAAGCAGAGAAGGGCGGTGCGGGGGATGAGACTGCACCTTCCCGTGTCCTCTCCCAGTGACCTGCCGCTTCCAACCAGTCCCACATCCATACTTGAGCCTTTGTGATATACTTTGGGTCTAAAACATAATAACCCAAATTTGAGCACATGATTAATATTCATTATCCAGCATGGTTGAACTATCAGAAATTATTTTTTCTTGTATTTTTTATAGTCTTGCAGAGATACTACTATCCCCTTTGTCTTCATATTTCTCAGTAAGAAATATTTATTGAGTACAGATCTTTGAGTATAATAAGGTGTTTTTTCTTATATTCATACATCATAGTAGTAAACTAGGTCCTTTCATGTAGTTGGTGTGTACATCACATTTATGTAGAATTTAAAATATTACTAAACTTATGTTCTTAAAATATTTTTCTAATGTGGAGTTTTTATAATTATCTTAGCAGTTATTCTATTATTGATCCTAGGTCAAGAATAAAATGTAATTTAACTCTGATCATATTTTAGAAAACTGTATGCTTTAAGATCCAATACATCACTTAACATAGTGCCTAGGAAGAAAAGAGGAATAAGTTTATGGTCCATGAAAATTGAATCCAATGCTTTTATGTTAAGGGAAATACATGTTGTTTATAATAATTTTCTTTTTATTTGTAGGTTATTACGGGAGTTCTTCGAAGAACAGATGAGGTAAGCTTTTAAGAAAGAGAAATTGCATTTTACCTTTATTTTTGTGTTCTTTTCATTGCTCTTTACTTTTATCTTTTTTCTCCATGTTATATTTTAAACTAGAAACAAATTGTGAGTAGACTGAGTCTAGAAAAGATAGTTCTGTGGTCTTTATTTCTCTCAGTAACCCATGGTAGGCTTTCTGCATTGATAATACAGAGTATCCAGTAGGATTTACTAACAGTTATTTAAAATAGAGAATTTTCCTATGAATTTTTCTTCCGAAAATTGTGGTATGTTCATATAGTGAGAGTCAGGCGACAGTTAAATGAATGAACCAGATCTATAAAGATCTACATGTTTAAATCTCAAAAATATTGAATAAAAAAGACAAGTTGCCAAAGTATGTTACATATTTTCACAGTTTTAAAATTCAGAAAATGGTACTCCATCTTGGTGGATATTTAGATATATAGGAAGAGGAATAATAATGTGAATGGGAAAGAATCACAACCACAGGATGATATTTCCTCTGGAAAGAGACACAGGAGAGGGACTACAAAGGGCTTCCTTGGTATCCATGTCATTTTATGTCTTAAAACATCTGAAACAGAGCCGGGCATGGTGGCACATGCCTGTAATCCCAGCATATGGGAGGCTGAGGCAGGGGGATTGCTGTGAGTTTGAGACCAGCCTGGGCTACAAAGTGAGCACAAGGCCAGCCTGAACTGCATAGTGCGACCCTTTCTCAAAAAGACAAAACAGACAAACAAACAAAAACCACATGTGAAACAAAATGGCAGATGTGAACACTTATTAAATCTGAGTGAAGAGCTCATGCATACTTATATTAATGTCCTTATCTATGGTAGTTTAAAATGTAACTAAAAACAAAAAAATCTCACTCCCTTTGATAATGGTAGGTTGTGCTCAGAATAGTGTTTGGGAACCTTAAAATGTCTATTGTATTTGTAACATTTATTAAAATCAACTGCTATGCCATATCCTTCTGCTACTTGAATTTTCTTATTCTCTGTGCTTTATTTATACTTGAGATAATTGGTGAAGGACTTTCACTTGTCACTGGACACTTGTTCAAATGGTAGACGATTTTACTTGAATTTTATCTGCAGCTTTTAAAAATAGCATGATAATGTAATAGTCTGTCACACAGGCACATGATCCAATATCTACTCATAAGACTCTCCTTACCCTAAACAGATTTCTTTCAGTTGTGATTTGTGAGAACCCACATATTCCTTCCAAATTCTGTATTGTCTTGGTTTCTGGACAGCTTCATTTTAGAAACTTGATAGTATTTAATTACTGGTCTACAGATGTGAGAAGGTGACGGAGGCAGAGTGGGGCCAGTTACTCTGTCATGTGTCCATTGTGTGTCCTCGTTAAGAATGGTTTCTAACTCTAACAGCCAAACTTTCCTCTCTTTTTTTCCCCAGGCTACCTTCAGTAAGATTCCCATTGGATTTATCCCACTGGGACAGAACAGTAGTTTGAGTCATACCCTGTTTGCCGAAAGTGGAAACAAAGTCCAGTAGGTTGTCAATGTGGAATATTAGCCTTTGTGGGTGAGCGAGCCTGGGAATAAAAATTCACATGTGTGATATGTTTGGTTTTGCTAACCTGAAACTTCAAATAACTGAGAAGAGGGCCGGTATCAAGGTTCAACCTTCAGTTCTTTGGGGAGTTTCCCAGCTGGGTTATGGGACTTCGCTATTCTAATAATAAGTTCCCAAGCCAGCTATGCAGATGAATATTTCATATGCTCTGTCAGTTATGAAGATGCTGGCTCTGACACAAACTGTGCTTTTGCTTTGTTAGATCGTTTCAGGAAGGCAGATTTGTACAGATCATTTGTTTGCTTAAAGTATAGAAAATGACAAATAGCTAGTTTCTTATGGAGACTAAACCCATAGCCTTGGCTTCATTATTTTGATAACATAAATAGCTAAAATGACTAAATATAGTCCAATCCTTTTGGGAATGCCTAAAGTGGTACACAGTATGGATAAAGTAAACAGGGAAAACAGTATAGCCCTGAAATCCAAATTAAATTGGTGTACATGTAATAATGTCTTCAGGAGTCTAGCAGATTGTTTTTGTTATTGTTCCTTTTTCATGAAAGCATTCCATGAATAAAGCCTGGTCTCTTGAAGATAGGGATCTTGAATTTGGAGTCTGGTCTTCACAGTGATTAATAATCTTGAACAAATGGTTGTCAAGAAAGATCTAAGTAAACAGAGAAGATACCCAAGAGATAGTTATGTTATCTTTAATGTGGGGTTGGTAACACAATGGAAAAAATTAGTAAATATTTCTCAAGTAAATTTAACAGTTTCTCACAATTTGTCTAGCTATAACTTTCTAGAATTAGTATTACTCAATTTTCTGTTTTGTTTAAGGATTTCTTTGGGTTTTTTATTTTAAAAATAAAAGAAGGAAAACATTAACAGACAACTATTTACAAAATAGCAAAAGAACAGTACAAACAATACAGTTACGAACAATGTGGTAGGAAATTAACAATGCTTGTTGTATTACATATTGATATCTTCAAAGTGATTACTCAGGGAAACAAATAGAGACATGCAA